TTAGCAGGTCAACTGAGAGGGGAGAGGTCCCTTAGAAATTCCATGTGGTACAAGCCGCTGAAAAGCACCGCTTATGGAGAGTTCTCATTTGCCACGTACGAAGCTAATTACTTCATGGACGATGCCGTAGAGGTAAGAAATGAACACGTCAATTTCACCTCCCGTGCTTTTTGACACGTCATCTGTAAATGTCTCAGTTTTTTGTTCTTCCTTCTCATCTTTCCTCTTCCCCCATTCGATCTTTTCATCCAGGTAGCGTTGAGAACGGTCTCGGACTCCGGCAGCACTGGCTTCCTTGTAAGATTGAAGGGTCGTGTACCATTGAGTGTTGATGCCGGCTAGTTCCGTCTTGTATCAAGTTGCCAAATTCGTCAAAATCAAGAACAGTGCAACATCTAGAAGAATCAATTCAGTACGTGCCAATTTCTTTTCTCGTTTTCTGTCCAATGTAACAAAATAAACTCCAAGTTTCAATTCTGCTGTGTCCACCAACGGACAACATGGGATTCTAGACGTTTTATACGGAGGGCGCCCACGGATAGTTTTCAGACCGGTGCGCTTGGAAATGTTCTCGTGCTCAGATAGTCGTTATAACGACTTTCTGATGATGTGCGTTATCGTTATGAAATTTTACATAAATACGAGAAACTATATCATTTCTTCACTTTACGAAGTACACACTCTCTCGTTCTCAGCGCTCTTAGCTCACTACTATCATACTTAACTCACTCGCGGCTATCTTTGTGTCTTGCTTGCAATTTGTGCGATCATCATTAACTAACTCACTGCTATCATTTGGTATTTCTTAGAATTTTGTGCAATCATGGATTTCTCTCTGTTACTGTTCTTTCTATTGTGCATTATGATGGTGTTTTTCGGATTTGCCTTTGCTTGGTTCTTATCTAGCACTAAAAGAGAAGTTTTTTCTACTCAGGATCAACCTTCTGATCATGTCAGCATTACCATGCCCGACTTTGATAGGGAAGAAGAATTGGAAAAACATAGTAATCATTACGTGATTACTATTTACGAATCAAGTCCAATAGTTCTCAGTTTTTTTAATGCTATTGAAAATTTTCATTCCCCAGATTCTACCTTTGAGTTCAATAATCAAGTCTCTTATAGAAGTTCTTATCTTGGTGTTGAAGTTGAGTATCCTCTTCTCGATGTTATGCCAGTTTTGCAGGTTGAGGAAGTTAGAAGCAGAGAGGAAAACATTGTCAGTGAAGATGTTCTCACAGTTTTTCAGGTAGAGAAATTTACATGCAGAGAAGAAAAGATGGCTGGTGAAGATGTTCTCACAATTTTGCAGGTTGAGGAATTTACAAGAAGAGAGGAAAAGATGGCTGATGAAGATGGTGTCTCAGTTTTGGAGGTTCAGGAATTTACAAGCACAGAGGAAAATATTGCTGGTGAAGATGGTCTCTCAGTTTTGCAGGTTCATGGATATAAAGGAAGAGTATATGCAACATGTATTATCTTCGGGACCCAGATATCTATCAAGACTCAACACGCATCCTCGATCACCTTCGACATACGCACATTGCCTCCATGCCTTCAAAGCACCAGTCCAGCACAGGCAGGTGCTAGACTGCTCTGTGTGCTCAAGAAATCCTTGACGACGATAGCTCTTTCCCCGTCGTTACTCGCACCGGTGCACGAGGCCGATCAGCGTTTGATCCTTCACTCGAGGAGCACGGCATCTCTCCTTCCCTCTCCCCCAAGCCCTCTACCCTCTCCAACTTTCATGAGATTATCTAATCACTCAAGCTGTGACAATTTGGTACTTTTGTATCAAAATGGCCAGCAGTTGCATGGTCTCTGGTCAATAAGTCTCGGAATTGTCGTGGCCATGGTTTTAGTTTTTCAGAAAATTGGCATTGTAGCAATCGGCGCAATCGTTCTACTTCTCCTGATGTTTCTTGAACAGTTATGGGATGTATAATAGTATTCAAGGTAATTTGTAGGTTAAATAGCTTTCTTTATCCAGGAAAGTTTTGATTCTAGCCGATTCCTGGAAGCTGATGCGGGTGAAACATGGTTTTGCAAGTCAATATGCCAAAGTGCAATGAAGACAAAGTGTCCCAGCGATTGAAAATAGGGAGTGGTCCTATACTTCCCGCCTTTGAATGAATGTTTGTTGTTCAGTTAAAGCATTAGATAATGGGTTCCTCTGCTGTTCTTCAATATGATAGCTTTTTAAGGATGGGTGGAATGGTAGCTGAATAGGAACACTTGGAAAGTAGAGATCTTGTACTTGGATTTAACTCTTCTTTTAGTAATGCTTATCGACTTCATAACTTCCATATAAAGTTGGCCAAAAACTTACAGAATTTGGATTGTTGTCACAGGTGGGGTTTTCTTCAGTGGAAGCAGGATCCGTACAAGCCGGTGAAAAGCACCGCTTATTAAGAGTTGTCGTTTGCTATGTAGGAAGCTAATTACTTCATCGAGGATGTGGGGTCAGCTTTATGATCCTATCAATTCCAATGACTAATACCATAAACTTGTCCTCCCACTGTTTATCCAGCCGTGCGTGCCGTCCAAGCGATCTCTACCTCGACATGAATCCTATGAAGAAGGAATGTATAGCGTTGAAATTGGAGGATGCCATCTTACTCAAAAACTAGACTGCAGCGCAAGTGCTGACTGAAGGGATCGCTGAGGCCATGATAAAAATCATCGCCGATATCAAGGTAAACAATTCATGAGAGAAAGAAACGGCATTGCGCAGACTTTGCCCACCATCTGATTTTGATCCTTTTGAATTTGTTTGCACGCCAGGTGCCCACAGATACTGGAAAGAATGCTTGAGTTTGTTGTCCAGATCTGAACTTCAAATGGAGCCAAAAAATATTCTCTTCTTCAATACTCCTAATCCAGGATACAGGCTGCAGAACCATAGCTATGACTGTTCTGGCATCCATTCCCCGGGTACAAAAGGTAGTGTGATTTTTATTGTTCATACGTTGTCAAACATATCCTTAGATTCAGTCGACTATTAAGTTTTGTTTACAATTTAAGAATCATTACATGAAACGATCATCCATCTGTAGGGCTGAATGAGGGGATCGCTCACTTGTTGGGCCAAAAGCACCTCGCGATCGCCCATATGTGGGGCTGAGAGCACTTCGCAGCTACGTTCAAGGGTTCTTTGCACCATCAATAGAAGGTTGATGATGCTAAACAAGCGTGCTGCTTGTATCTCTTCCAAGGTCTCCTTCTCCCGTAAGCTTTTGAGTTTTAGTATATTAGTTTGTTAGAGAGGAGTCGAATGGTAACAGGTTATGATATTCTATGCTAGTCATTAGACACCAATGATGTATAGTAGTCACTTGCTCCAGCAAAGTTTTTATGAACAGAAACATCTTGTTAGAGTTTTTGATTGAAGTAATTATGACTGATATTATGTATGTATGTTTGGTTGTCTTTTCCAGTTTTTAGGGGATTAACTCCTGGTTCACTAGTTTCAAAGATACCAAATCAATTCAACGACAGTGAGTATTAGATTGTGTTTCCTTGGATCGAACTTAAAATTCTTGCAGCTGAGACAGTTAATTGAGCGTTGTAGAGTAATTACGTTTTACCAATCGGACATGTTGAAGGACGAATGAAGAGGGGAAGAAGGATCCGTGTCGAGTGAGGTTGACCTAGGCTCCCGTGAGGCAGTTCATGATGTGTCTTTACCAGATTGCAAATCTCAACTCTACAACAGTGTACATTTCATGAATTTGACGATGGAGAATATTGAAGAGCAAGCATCTCCTACCTCCAAAGAGGCAAAATCTTCATCTGAGCCTGCAGATGGTTATTCGAAACCTCTCGGCTTTTATATGCTCGGCTTTTATATCCTAGCAGAACATTCTCCATCTTCAACAACTACGCTGCCAACTTGGGAATTTGGACAAATCCATCCTTTTACGGTATATTTTGAACTCTTTCCCACCTTGAAGTTGCAGGATCACAAATAGAAGTCCATACATAGTACTTGAGACTTCTTCTTTGATTGCGTGAACAACTGAAATCACGTTCTTCTGGCTTCTTGTGCATTCTTATGACAGGGAACTGCCAGAAGCCTTCACTGATTGCCAGAGCTAACTTTCAGTGCAATCTCCGGTTCCACTCGGAGACAACGACCATGCACTGCAGAACAAATGGCCTTTTTCAGCATGTACAAGGAATTGTGAGTGCGTCCAAGTCTAGTTCAAACTTACAGTCCTGCGCACACATTGGAAGGTTTTGGTTCGGTTTTGTATCTGCTTACTGACAAATTATAGGTATGGATTTGTTTTTATATATAACTTGAATTACCTACATGTCTATGAAACTGATGTTCTGAATTGTCTCTTTGCAGAGGTTGATTTCTTGCAGCCATCTGTACACTAGGGAAGATGCACAAGCACAAACTTCAATCTACGTAAGGATCAAAGAACGTTCACACGTGAAAAATGAAACTAGAAGGCAACGCTAAGACAATAGTGATTCTGACCAATGTAATTAATCAAAACTTTCAGGTTATAATATGGCTCGTTCTCGTATCTGCTATGAACTCAGGTTTCTTGGATAATTGCTGTACATGGCAGAGGTTTAAATTAGGAGGTAGATACGGACTGGGATATTTATTAACCACATTTCGCTTCGTATTATGTAGAGCTCCAAGATTCTCACAATGCCTCCAGTAAGGCTGTTGTTCTCCAGGTGGTTGAAAAAGAAATCAATGACATACAGAAAAGAGAAGAATTTTCAGACGCGAAGTGTGGTTGTGTTTATAAGTAAAATATATTGTGGTTTCGTACGATCATGTCTGTTTTCAATCATTTGTTCCATATTATCGAGGGAAAGAGATTGGTGCCAAACTCGATAGATAGAAAGACTTGCAGATATATTTTTGACTCATCGATATGAATACTATTCATGAAACAATGTCGTTCTTCTTAATTACTCAAATTGTGCATGGATGACTGCGATGTCATTCTACGTGTGTTTGAGTATTGCAGTCCAGTTCACAGGGCTGAATCATGTCGCCCTTGGCTGCGAGAACCTCGAAAAATCGTTGGATTTTTACTCTGGACTTTTGGGTTTGTAACCATTTAATTTTACAGTTTTGTCAGTCTTAGACAAAGGAGGAAATAAAGCAAAGAAAAGGCCCTCGATTCTTGACTGACTGTCAGTCGTCAGTCGAGTTCATGTCTTTCCTCAGTGACCCCTCGCTCTCGCTGTCGATGGCTCTCTCTGTCTCGGCTCTAGCTCTAGCTCTCGCTCTCGCCATTGCGCGCTCTCCCTCTCGCCATTGCGCGCTCTCCCTCTCGCCACTGCACGCTCTCGCTCTCGCTCTCAGCACTGCGCGCTCTCGCTCTCGCCACTGCGCGCTGTCGCTTGCTCTCTCTGTCTACGGCCTCCCTGTCTCTCCCCTGGAAAAAGGACCAATGCGTCCGCAATTAAGTATGTCACTTGCATTTGAGTGGTCAAAGAACATGCTGATCTCTCCTTTTCTGTCCTTTTTACAAAATCTATGTCAAGCACATACATTTAATGGGAAGTTAAGATGCAACTTACAAGTCATAAGTATCTGATACATTGGCAACATTCCAGTTCATGTCCCAGAACCTGTGGGAAAACGAGGGGGCAGAAATGCCAGTCCTTTGCAGCGAACGCCTCTCCTTGCTTTCGGTTGAACAATAGTACCACTGACAATCTTGCATCTGCTACATGTTGATAAGTAGTACTCTCTACCTGAAGTAGTCTCAGTGCTTCAGTTCTGAGATTCGAGTCGTTGTTCAGGCCACAATGTTCCATGCAACACGTTGGAGAGCTTTCTGCCAGTGACATAATTCAGGATCAGCTTTCTTGCTATCATTGAGAAGGTTAAGGTGATGAAGACTTGAATTTATGATTCCAATGAGCCGGATATTTCTACACTTCATAATCTTCTCTGATTCTAGTCCATCGATATTCTCCTGTTCATACATGGCGTCCTGAGCATTAATTGAATGCAAAGAAACAATTGAAAACTTTCTATGGATGCACTATCCAAAACGTTTCTCTGGCTCAATGCACCTCATTCATGACTGCCTTTATTCCTGGAGGCTCACCAGATGGGAAAGTCGCAAGCTTCTTGTCAGCATCCATGCTAGACTCGACTATAATTGCCTCAACACCTCAAGGTCGTTTGCCGTATATTTATATGTTTACAGAACGTAATGCCGAACACTAACGATTACCTTCGAATCTGCCAGAAAAGTTTGTTCCACGTTACTGAGAAATCTTAAGGCAATCTAGCAGTGATATTGCATCGGAGTAGAATCTGTTGATGTCATGGAGTCTTGACCACTTGATGCAATGCAGGGGCTGCGATACCTGTAAGAGCTTTGTTCTTTACACTTGAATTTTAGTATGTGCTTTAAACCATAGAAGGACTTAGATTCTATGCCGCCTAGTAATTGAGGAGGTCTGGTTCTTCAGCAAAGATGATTGATAATGCAAAATTTCTACAAACCACCTTATAAAAAAAACTCTACAAACTCCATCCATGGGTAAGTCCTGATCAATTTCATCTGGAGACTAACAGTTCATGCACGATCGATGGCAGATGACTCCATCTTCCGAACATCGAAACTTTTACAATCTCTTAAGGGATGTAAATTTCCTGAGTATCGAAGATGGGTTGCAAAGACATGATTTGCCTGCGGCAGTTGAGTCGCTCTAATGTTTCTGACACGAGCGGTGGCTGATGGCTTCTGTACATCTCTTCCTTTCACTTTCCAGAATAGGTTTCTGCTTCTGGCGATTAAATCGCAGGCCATTACATCCGTCGAAAAGCATCCGTCGAATCGCTTCCAGGAGAAATCAGATTCCTTATCTTCAATTGATGAGTTTGCAAACGTTGCCATGTCTAGCTAGTAACGAGTCATGCATTCGAACTCTCCTGTCTATGAGCTGGATGTTGTAGAGTACATCAATATTTCGACTGCCGAACCGATTCAGAACGAGAAGAATATGTATATTCCGAATTGAAGGTAAGAACAAGGCTACGAGACTGATGACGAGAATATAAAAATCGGAACCAGAAGGGAAAACGTTTCCTTCTGGTTCGGATTTCATTGTAAGCATGGTCCACAATGTAATGCCACGATATGGTCATCTCCACGGCTGAATGGTCTGTATGAGACCACTGACTCAAAGAGATTATGAAGATAAGGGTTTTCTCCGTTGGTTTGTTGCACACTTTCAAGGATCTTCAGATCTTGAAGTCCTCATCAAAGGAAGAGGCAAGTTTCTCTTTGTATCTGAGCTGCAGATCAGCGGAAATTTCGTTTCCTGCTGATGATCAGCGACGAAAGAAGATGACTTGCAGAGGCGAGGACTCTAGTCTTTGATCAAGGCACGATCCGGATCCGAACGATCTATGCACAGAAATGCACGTTCAAAGGGTACAGAGAATGTCCAACGTAGTAGGTACAGAAGTCAGTTTAGCGAGAATCTGGTGGTCTGTGACGACGGGGATGTTCTCATTCATGCTTCCAAGGTCCAATAGGACGGTAATAGACTCGGTCCATTCCCAGGGACGGTTGCCAAGAATGTGAGGTCGGTCAGCTCGCGCGCGACGTCTTTCATTGTGGGCTGGAGTGAACATTCTGCCTGTCGATAACGCTCATGGAAAATCAGAGGTAGAACTGACAGAACTGCCAAAGAGCCTTCACTGATTGCCAGAGTGCAATCTCCTGTTCCACTTGGAGACTGCGACCATGCACAGCAGAACAAATGGCCTTTGTCAGCATGTACAAGGAATCGTTAGTGCATCCAAGTCTAGTTCAAACTTACAGTTAGAGAAACTATTTCCATTTCCACTGGAAGGTTTTGGTTCGGTTTTGTGTCTGCTTTCTGACAAATTATAGGTATGGATTTGTATTTTTTTATAACTTGAATTACCTACATGTTTATGAAACTGATGTTCTGAATTGTCTCTTTGCACATATTGTTGTCTTGCCGCCATCTGTACACGAGAGAAGATGCACAAGCACAAACTTCAATCTACATAAGGATCAAAGAACCTTCACACGTGAAACATGAAACTAGGAGGCAACGATAAGACCACATTGATTCTGACCAATGTTATTAATCGGGATTTTCAGGTTAGAATATGGCTCGTTCTCGAATCTGCTATGAATTCAGGTTTCTTGGATAATTGCTGTACATGGCAGAGGTTTAAAGTAGCAGGTAGAGACCGACTGGGATATTAACTACACTTCGTTTTGTATTATGTAGAGCTCCAAGATTCTCAGAATGCCTCCATTAAGACTGTTGTTCTCCAGGTGGTTGAAAAAGAAATCAAAGACATACAGAAGAGAGCGAAGTGTGGTTGCGTTTCGTTCCAATCGTAACATACATATTCAATTCCAGATTGACCATGCAAATTCGACTTTGGTGCAGCCTGATCATTTGTATTCATCGTTATGCTTAATATTAAGGCGTAGTATCGGAAGGAAAAGACATATGCAGTAACAGGCCTAAGATGAGACAATGTGAAAAGGATAAAGAAATCTAAAGGCTTTTAGAAAAAAGAATCCAAAACAGAACCAGGGTAAGGTACAGCAGGTGCATTCTGTAACGGTAGACTGCATCTATAGGACTTCAGCTACGAGTTGTAGTGAGTTAGTCGGGATTTATGCCCACATTGCTTCAAAGTCATATACTCTCAAAGAGTATATGTAAAGTAGAAACGCAGACACCTGGGATATGATTAGGTCCAGATCACGTCTTAAAACAATGATTCAAAGGGAAGTCTCCAACTTGCATACGTAAGGCCTCGAAATACTTCTGAGGTGTCTAGTGTCGGCTTGTCTGGAACTGGGTATGCATTTGTCCACTGACCATGCCGCCTGCCGTTCAATTCGTATCACACGTGAACTGTATAAGGGGACAATATTGTGAAGGTTGGATGCAAAGAAATCAAAACATCCAAGGGAACAACAAGAATCCGAAAGAGCCTAGTAATAAATGAAGAATATATATATATTATATATATATTATATAGCTAGCTAGCCAGGGCAGAGTTAGTACTCTGCCCACAATGAAAGGCCTGTCTCCGATTACGATAGTGCTAGTGATCATTCAAAACGGCTGGTAGCCCAAATCATTTGAGTTTAGGATTTCTGCTTCGAAAAATTTAGGAGTACAAGACTAAGCTCGTCCTGAGCAGTGTTTAGGATTTTTCAAAAAGCCTTATGTTCTTTTGGATGTAACCTGATTCAAACCACGTACTTATTGACGTTGAAGCTGCGTGCTTTGTCTGTTGTGATTCTACTTTTCTCTTTTGTGCTCATTTTGGCGTTTTTTTTTGTTCATACATTGTCAAACATATCCTTAGATTCAGTTAACTATTAAATTTTGTTTAAAATTTAAGGATCATTACATGAAACGATCATCCATCTGTAGGGCTGAGTGAGGGGATCGCTCTCTTGTTGCTAGGGGCAGCAACACGGAAAGTGGATACATAGCAAAAGGCAATGGGCACACTCGGAAGATGCGCCTAGATGCGCATTATGCAGAAACAGCGGAATTGAGAAGGTCATCATGCAAGGACGGGCAGGAACAACCCTGAAGGCGAAGTAGCACTTGCATGCGGGCATATATAACACGGTCTGAAATCCGGAAAAGGAGAAGGAGCTAATCTCCAAAGCTAGACTTGCGGGGATCGAGGTCAAACACTTACCGGGATGCAAACAGCTCCACGAGCAAGAAGTCACAATGTAGCTACGTTTGAGTTTCATATGTGGGGCTGAGAGCACTTCGCAGCTACGTTCAAGGGTTCTTTGCACCATCTATAGAAGGTTGATGATGCTAAACAAGCGTGCTGCTTGTATCTCTTCCAAGCTCTCCTTCTCCCGTAAGCTTTTGAGTTTTAGTACTTTTGTTTGTTAGAGAGGAGTAGCGTGGTAACAAGTTATGCTATTCTAGGGTAGTTATAAGTCACCAATGATATATCGTAGTCAATTGCTCCAGCAAAGTTTTCATGCTCATAAACATCTTGTTAGAGTTTTTGGTTGAAGTCATTATGATTGATATTATATGTATGTATGGTTGTCTTTTCCAGTTTTTAGGGGGTAACTCCTGGTTCACTAGTTTCAAAGATACCAAATCGATTCAAAGACAGTGAGTTTTTTATTGTGTTTCCTTGCATCGAACTTAAACTTCTTGCAGCTGAGACAGTAAATTGAGCTTTGTAAAGTAATTACGCTTTACCAACCGAACATGTTGAAGGAAGAATGAAGAGGGGAAAAAGGATCTGTGTCGAGTGAGCTTGACCTGGGCTCCCGTGGAGCAGTTCATGATGTGTCTTTACCAGATTACAAATCTCAACTCTACAACAGTGTAGATTTCATGAATTTGACGATGGAAAAGATTGAAGAGGAAGCACCTCATACCTCCACAGAGACAAAATCTTCATCTGAGCCTGAAGATGGTTATTCGAAAACTCTCAGGGTTTCTCCTTCATGTTCGTTTCTATTCCACACCCGTGAAGTTTGTCATCATTTCAGCATTTATAGATAAATTTTGAGCAAATATTTCATTTGTAGATTGTCACAGTCGACAATCGTAGTGTAAGTAAACTATATTGTAGTCACGTACAATCATGTCTGTTTTCAATCATTTGTTCCATATTATTGAGGGAAAGAGATTGATGCCAAAGTCGATAGATAGAAAGACTTGCAGATATATTTGACTCATCAATAAGAATACTATTCATGAAACAATGTCGTTCTTCTTAATAACTCAACTAGTGCATGGATGACTGAGATATCATTCTACGTGTGTTTGAGTATTGCAGTCCAGTTCACAGGGCTGAATCATGTCGCCCTTGGCTGCGAGAACCTCGAGAAATCTTTGGATTTTTACTGTGGACTTTTGGGTCTGTGTACCATTTAATTTTACAGTTTTGTCAGTCTTAGACATAGGAGGAAATAAAGCAAAGCAAAGGATGCATTCCAGCAAACTTTGAATCTTGTCGACATCAAGAGGCAGAATGGCTGGTGTTTGAGTTGAATCGTAAGGTCGGGTGAAAGAACTTTCCACTTTGTCTTCATCTGAGTGAACCAGTTGACAGATGGTTCGACTGTAATTTTCGATAGAAATGTGATACATTTATATCTGATCATCTAGCGAAGACATAATCAACTTAATAGTTTTTCTAATGTGGGATGACGAGGAAAGGAAAAACTACCTATGAGTACGGAATTAAGTATGTCACTTGCATTTGAGTAGTCAAAGAAATGAAGATATATGATGAAAATAACGAGCTGATCTCTCCACTTGTGTCCTTTTTACAAAGTCTATTTCAAGCACATACATTTAATGGGAAGTTAAGATGCAACTTACAGGTCATAAGTATCTGATCCATTGGCACATTCCAGTTCATGTCCAAGTACCTGTGGGAGAACCGGTTTGTGATCAACAAGGAGGCAATATAAGTCTCAATGACACGATGCTTTCTGAAATATATATATATCTCGAGAAGATCAACTAGCAGCTGAAGATATCCGATCCAAAGAAGATGGGAGAGCACATATACCCGGTCAGATTCTTCTAATTATGCGTCCAAGAGATTGGCCATTCCTTCATATTTGACTCCTGCAACATTCCCTTCAGGCTTGGTTATGGTAGCTTGAACCGTGCCACTTTCCAGCACAACCTGCACAGCATTGTAGGAAAAAAATAGCATTGTACTTTTTTTCAACGTAAGCTTTGCACTCAAGGGATATACTCAGGTGATTATTGTTGCACTTGAAAATCTCTTTTGATGAATTGAGTTATGATTATGGGCTTCTGTTTCTAAACCCTCCCTTTGTTATAACCGTGATGTTATCTGAACCAGAAAAGTTATTCATTATATCTTCTATCTAATTGATAATGTCGATGAAAATTTTAGGACTTAAGTGTACATTCTACTGCTGGATTCAAGTGAGCCATGACAAATCTTCAATACTTGTATATTGAATGTTTCTGAAAAATTAAAATAGATGAGGTGAATAACTTTTGAAAACCCAAACCCAAAGGCGCGGATGAAAAGGCGAAGATCTGATAGAATCGAATGACACTCATTTACAAGAGAATGGATTCATGCATCAAAAGGTACTATTTGAAATGAATAGGTTCGATCAGAAAGTTTCAATATCCAAATTTAAGCTCCATTCTTTAACAAATAAATCCAACGA